ACACACACACACACACACACACACACACACACACACACACACACACACACACACACACACACACTGTTTTGATCTGTCAAATCTGTATCCATCATACCAAGTCAAAGTGAGATTTAGTGCAGCTCCGTAGCGGGGTAACCGCACTGTGGGCGAGGCCATATTAAATTGTCTACTGAAGTGGGCCAGATTGTGTTAGGCCAGTCTATCCATTCATCTAGGCTAATGCCCTTTCTGCCTCCATCCATTTCAGAAGCTGAAGGAGACTGGGGAGAGGCGAACAGGGCCCAGGAGAAGAAGAGAGGGGATGAGGAGAAATGAATGAAGGGGAAAGTGAGAAAGGAAAAGATGTTAGAAGTAGCAAGAGAAAGGGGGTAAATGATGATAATGGTAAAGGGGATAGATGAGGGGAATCACAAAGAGAATGTGACACCTTACGGTGTAATTATTTTTTTGGGTCACTATACGGATTAACTACATAGTTATTTCAACATTTGTAGGCTTTTAAATGGGCAAGCCTACAGCTCCTTCTGAGAGAGCAACATGGGCAAGACCTAATGGAATGACACAGCATACCATGTACAGTACATAGCAGCAGCTATACTAACAAGACTCTATGGTAATGAGCTGCAGGGAGAGAAAACACATGCATGAGCGGACACACGCATGTGCACACACACACACACACACACACATACACACACACCAGCTCAATGTGCTGAGACACTATCAGCGTGCTCTCATTTCGCCATTACCACTTTTAAGTGTTTGTTGCTATAGCAACAGTGTGATTTATTTCCCAATTAAGAGTTAGTGAACTTGCTCACTTACAACCAGTAATACCAAGCCGCACATAAATTACCTGCAAGCGTAATGCGGTCTATTTGCTATTAAAAACAAAGGAACATAACCATCTCCTGTCTCCCAGACAGGCAGACTTCTGTATCAAGAGTTTGCGTCTTTGTGAGCTTATTGTGCAAGAACAAATATTCTCTAATAATTGTGTGCCACGTCTACTTGGCAATTAATGTGCTCACTGAAAAGGATGAAATTCAGCAGGTTTCACATCCAATAACAACCTTTTTCATCCATCTAGCTTAAAATGAAGATAAACAATACACGGATGGATGAGAGAGTCGGCAGGCAGGTGGGAATGTAATGGAATCAATTAGGCAAACACTCATGATTTATATTCTGTGTTGATAACAAAGAGAGCTTAATTTACCTTCTTTTCCCCTCTTACTGATATCATTTGTTTCTAATGTTTATGCACAGATAACATACGAATCCCATTCCCTCATATAAATTGAGCAGCAGTGCCTGACTTTACATTCCTCTGTGTGTGTGTGTGTGTGTGTGTGTGTGTGTGTGTGTGTGTGTGTGTGTGCGTGCGCGTGCAGTGTGAGCACATAAAGCAGAAGCAATTGTTAATTATTAACTCTAACTAAAATGTTAATGCATATATTAGCACTGATTCATAAACATGAAGGCAATTTCTGCATGTGTCTGGCCTGAGTAGATTATACACTGTTTGTATGTGTGTTTCTGTGTGTAATTTGTCTTCATGTCGCCAAATGTGTATGGATGTGTGGATGTGAGAAAAAAAGACCCTTGCTTGGCTAAGTTTGCAAATGGTTGTCTAACATTCTTCTGTAATGAAACCCCTCTGTCCCTCTGTCTTTTTTCTATTCCCCTCATTTTCTCCCTCTCTTTTCTCTTGCTCTCTGCAGTGTTATTGAGAAGTAGAACTCGTCTGGCCCTCATTAATGTCCCTGGCATTCGCTTGGCTCTGCATCTCTTTTTTCCCCTCTCCCCAGCCTCTTACAGCTTCATTCCGCATTCTACCCATGCCATCCTCGTATGCACAACACTAGCAGGCTTCAACTGCAATTAGTACCTGTGTTATCACACACACACACACACACACACACACACACACACACACACACACTGCAGAAGTATTTAGGTCCAGATCTTTTTTGTGCCCAGGACCACTCTTCCCATACTTCACCCCTGTAGTCCTCTCAATAATGATGGACATGTTGGACAATAATTAGACTGACTCAATAACCATTCAGTTGGTTCAGGGAAACACTTGGGATGCCATGTTCCCTTCCATTAAGTCTTTATGCCTATTGAGTTTAACAGGAAGACCGACACAATGCAGCTCTGCTGGTGTATTATAATATTTTATTACTGGTTTGGCCTTGGTCATTGTGAAAAATAGATTGGACACAAGGTTACCGACAGATTCGGCATAAATGGCTCTTTGGTGATCAGGCAAGATGAACAAGACCAAAGCTTTCTTCTGTTTGTGTGGAGTGGTGTACTGGAAGCCAGCCACACTTGTGTAGGCTACTGCACAGTGTTGATAAGTTCTATCGCTTTGTACAATCTGATACTGTTTTTAGCATTACTCTGCAAAGGCTACAGTACGAATTGTCCCAGTATCTTATTAGCTCCAGTATGAATCTTTCATTTGGGTCTCTATCACAGAACCCCTAAAACTAGGCAAAGTCATTACCGTTTTCACTTTTTCAATCTCTCGCTCTTTTCATGTTCCGAGATCACTCCTTTATCCCTCGCGTTCTATTTTTCATCACAACTTTATCCTCATTCATACCCTCAAACACTCTTTAAACTTGAAGAAATGAGACCCACGTCTCTTATAAAAAGAAGAAGAAGAAAAAAAAGGAACTAGGTCTGGGGGTGATCACCAGAAAGTTTCTGACACGCAGAATCACCCTTAAGCTGGTGTTGAATGTTTTAGAGCTGGCTGGTCTCTTTTTTCTCAGAGGGGGATAAGACGGCTCTTGTGTCTGCTTGTCTGCCGGGGCTTTGGCGGTAGAGGAGAGGCAGCTACCTGTTCTGCTCTCCCCTCTCATCTCTTCACACTAATTAGAGAGAACTAGGTTTAAGTCTTAGCGGGGACACACATCTTCTGCCTGCGCACAGCTGCGTGTGCGTAGCCGTGTGTTCATCAAAGTGTTTTATGAAGGTCCTGTTTTTGTCTGACTGTGTGCAAAAATTTTTATTTTGGTCAACATTTTATTGACATGCTGGTGGACTACAATGCGCCTGCCCCCGTGCGTGTGTGTGCATGTGAATAGTGTGCAGTGAGGTGGCAAGGCACCGCAGGCGATGATAAGGAGGGGGCTTAAGCAGTGGGCTCTCTAGGCCTAATCACTGCACACATTTCAAAGGCGAGAATGCCAATTAAAACTGATAGGGCTCAATATGGGCTTTTGGGCTGCCACAGCGAAGAGCAACACATCCAACATGAAAATCAATCGACCCCCCGTCTCCTGGTCAGGAGAAGCAGTTTGCCAGCCAGTGATCCAAGAGGAGCCTCTGATAAATACATAGGCTCTACAAAGGGCTGTAGCAGGGGCAAGGGGAAAAAGACTCGTGGGGTCGTGGAGAGAAGACAGAGATCTGTGAGTCCCCAATCATGTGTGCGTGCCGGTGTATGTTGGGGATCAGACGGCCTGTGATCTCAACTCCAAAAAGTAGGTGGAAAAGTAAGTTAGGGGGACTTTGATATATATATGAGGGGGGATGAACTGCAGAGTGTCAGGATTCAATTTTCCAAAAAGCTTTCAAGCTACCCCATTTCATTTTATTTGCCATTAAGAATCCATACAGTATAACCATTTGACATAATGAGAGGACATATAGCCTATTCCACATCAGTCGAGTTGAAGGAATAGTCTGACATTTCTGCAAAAAAAATAATAGCTTTCCTGTCGACGGATGTGAAGATTGACACCATTCTCATGTTTATATCCCAACTATGGAGCTAGAGCCAGAAGTCGGCCAGCCTGGTCTACAAGTTGTAGGGAGATTTCAGAATGCAAAGTAGTTGCTTTATCGGTGGCGAGGAGGGCCGCTAACAAACCAACGACCCTTACTTCAAGGACACATCTTAACCGGAACAGTGCTCTCCCCCCATTCTGGTCCACAGGGAAACACACTGGAAATACAGCTGGCACTCTTTTGTTTCAACACAGTTTTAGAAAGCTGAGAGAAAGTCCTCAGTCTCTAGTTGGGTGTTCAGAGACTAGTTTGTTAGCTTGGCTTAGCACAAAGACTAGAAACAGGGGGAAGCAGCTAGCTAGGCTCAGTCAGACGATAACAAAATCCACTTACAGGCACCTCTAAAACTACCTAATATACACGTGTTTAATTCATTGGTTTTAATTCCAACCAAAACCTTTATGTGGTGGTTATGTGCCTGGCGTAGTCAGTTTCCATTGTTTCCCTGTGCTTTATGCTAAGCTAAGCTAACCGGCTGCTGGCTCTAGCCATTGTTAGGGTAGACGAGAGTGACCAAGAATAGGACAGTACTTGGGTAAATGTACTTTTTACCACTGGAAAATTTACCCAAGTACTGTCCTATTCTTGTTATTTATAAGAATTTTTTTACTTCTTATTCCATTACATCTATTCGACAGCTGGAGTACTTATTACTTACAAGATTTTACGTTAAAAATGAGCTGTTCAACATAAAACCATTTTGGCTTACAAGAAACAGTATCTAGTAACAGGCCTGTTGTCATGTTTCTGCCAAAAGAGTGATTTCTTCTCTAACCTTTTCAGAGGGTTTACTGAAATGACTGTGCGAGGCTAATAGAGGTAAACATTTGCCAATATCCCCCCCCCCCCACACTCACACACACACACACACACACACACACACACACACACACACACACACACACAGATTTGACGAAAGTCCAAAAAATGAATAAACACTTGTCTCTCCCATTTATCCTCTCACAACCCCTCAGATTTATTCAGTCATAGGGACCATTTCTCTGCAGACTACTTTTTATACTTCAAGCATATTTTGCTGATAATACTTCTGCAGTTTAAATGAAGAATTTCTACATGTATGTATTTTTACATTATGTACTAGTACTTTCAAGTAAAGGATCTGAGTACTTCTTCCAACCATCTCATTCAACCCTCAGCAAGGAAGCAAACAAATTTATTTCTCAAAATGATGAACCACCAATTACTTTAATGGACAGAAACACAGTGAAGCATGATCACACATCAGAAATACAATTATAGTGACATTTATCAGACACTCACAGAGGGGGAAAAAAATGACAATACACATCCCCAGCAATATGTAATCAATATATAAAGATATTTAAATGTAAAATGATATTCATAAAGTCAGTGGAATGATTGCAAAAGGATATAATGACAGTACGGCACAAATCCAAAAGCTCTGGCTTGCAACTCCAAAGAACAGATTTTTCACTTCAGTGGTGTGTGATTGTTTGCGCATGTGTCTCTTAACAGTCAGGGCAAACAATCACAAATACCTGCTGTGGTTCAACTCACTGAAATGAAACGCACAGGCTACACCGGAGCTGAATGTCAAATTGAGCAGTCCTTGCCACCATCCACAGTATAAGCGCTACAGGTCACACTCTGCCAAGGCAATTTAATGTGACGTCCAGTACCTTGTGATATGTGTGTGACTGTGTGCTTCTAAAGATGTGTGTGAAGGCTAATACGCTCTGACAAGCTGATAACATATTTTTTGTCATATCATTTGACATCATTAACTAATAAGGATTGATTGCCCTTTGTTCCCCGTCAAAGAGTGTTTGTACTATTGCTCTGCCGCCATGGTGTATGTGCGTGTGTGTTGTGTGCGTGTGTGTGCAAGAAAAAGACAGAAAGAGAGAGGGAAAAGCTTTTTTGACAATCTCAGGGCTTTCCTATCCACAGATCAGAATCTGGCTGGACCCAACCTTCTCCCATGATGCTTTGCAGGCGGAAATTTTGGAAATACTCCAGACGGTGGCTATGAGACAGACAAAGCATTTCATATAGCATGCACAAAACTCTCATATACACACATGAACGTTTTTGTACATTTATACTGTAAATCTCCTTTTCTGAGTCTAATTACCTAGGACTGGTGTTAGCTAACAGCTTACAAATCTGAAAAGTGCAAACTGCAAGCTGGCCTGTCAAAACTTTGTCATACAAACTTGTTCTTCAAATTCTAACCGATGACTATTACTCATCACAAGAAGTACAACTGAGCCTGTGAAAAATGTCCTCTGTGGCTCTGGAGGAAGTGTCTCTGAAGTAGAAAAATAGGTCATTTAAGAAAATAACCCTGATTATGTCATCAAAATAATCCTCATGATGTCGTTAGTGTCATCTTGGCTGGGGATTTAGGCTTTGAATTTGAAACAGAAACAGAAAAATGTGTTGCAAATTGGAGTGCAGAGTTTAAAATGCGGGGCATTTTACCAGTAAGGGGAAATCTATCAAAAGACCCAGTGGAGTTGCATTATGGGAAATGCAGGATCCAGTGTTTTTGGAGCTTGACCCATACTAAAGACTTAAAGTCAGAATATCTCCGTTGCTTTGATTTTTGTTACTCTTTTATAAATATGTCCTCCAACTTCATGAAAGTGCAAAACTACACTGCTGGAGTACGCCTTCAAAACAAAACGATGTTTTACTGTAAATAACTTATTATAATATATAAATAACATCTGTATATGACCTCTAACAACTGTACTCATGGGAGTCAGCATACTTACAAGTTGGGTCTTTGGCCTTCCACTAGCTCCTCCTTGGGGACGGGGTAGAGGGCTTCGTATGTACGCTTCTCTCCTGAGCCATGGATGGCGTAGGAGTTCATCTTGTTGATATTGGGAGGGAAGTACGACCAGGGAAGGAGAGCCTCGCCCATCCACCTGTCCCCTTTGATGGTGGCATTAAACACCATGGGCAGTTGTTGCTGGAGAAAGCATTTCAAGACAAAAATGAGAAATACTTAAACACCTAACACAAAGTACCACTGCGTCCTTCAGGTACTCCCTTGATGTCTGCCTACCAGGAATGCTTGGCCAACTCCTGACAGCAATAATATCAGGTGCTGTCCATGTCTGAAATGAAAACACAGTTTTGTTTGTAATAAGACTGTCTATAAACATGTGGTCACAGACATGGATGTTACAGCAACTTAGCTCTGTACTTACGGACAAAGCTCCACCTCTAGGTAATTTTCTGTAGTACTGTCAAGGAAGAAGGACTCCACAACTGAGGAGATGAAGAAAAAAAATTGAAGCAAGATAAAACCTTTAATCGTACATTATATAAACTGCTTCAAATGTGTCATTAACCTAATCCACACCTATCTCAGAGAAAACTAGTTTACAGTTTAACAATATTGGGTAAAAATTACAGATACATAAACTTTTAAATAAGATATGAAGACCAGCACACGCACTAACCTAGCAGCATGCTCATTATAATGGCTTGGATTATAATGGTTTCCAATCTAATAAGTAACATTAATGAGGCCAAATATGTGGAGCTCATTAACCGGAAATCGAACTTACTTAAGGTCAATTAGATAGGATTGTTATTACTCAACCTCATCACAGGGTTTAATTGCTGTGTCACCATAATAATGATAATGCAATTACTATTATGGCCTCATAAACAGAGCTAGTCCCTAGTCTCTCCAACCTCATTGGACTATATTCATAATTTTATCTCAGCTTTGAAATTGCATCATACAGACTGAATCCCATAACCAGGACTGGAATAACAACGTCATGATAAACAACTATTGGGGGGTGGGAACCATAAAAGCAACACCTGTACGACATAATGCAATCTATTACAACAGGCCATAAATGCAACCTTTGTGAGGTTATAAAGCTCAGGTTGAATCGACACCATGGAGTCTCGAGTGTGTCACTGTCATAATTACACACTTTTTAATTGGTTAATTATGATCAGTCAAAGGAACAGTTTGACATTTTCGGAGATACACTCACACTCAGAGTTAAGAGTTTGATGAGAAGATGGAAAAAGTGAAATGAACACTGCCCCAATTAGTCCTCAAATGATTAATAAATGAATGCATTTTTTAATTGAGGTCCATACAATACTTTTTAAAAAAAGGGTTTTAAAATTTTTACTTTTAGCTTAGTTATCCCATTTGCCAATGTGACTTTGTATCACATTCCATTAAAACACTTTTGCAATCACTTGAAAATAAATCCCTAAAAAGTCTTGCTAGATTGCTACATATACAGTATATGTGCATGTCTAGGAAAGCTGTTTAGTGCACCACCATAGCCTGAGCCCCTACTTCTTACCCACCTTCATAATCCCAGAGTCCAGGGAAGGGCTGACTGGGGGGGCTTGCAGGAGCTGCTGGGTCATTGAAGAAGGGACCAAACACTTCAATCTTCAGCCCCCCTTGGCCAGGAGAGAAAACAACCCTGATAGGGTCATGATTCACAGGATTGCTATCCCAGGTGTGCCGGATCAAAAACTCCATTTGCTTTCGAGGACTGAAAGAAAAATTAAATCAGAGTGATCATCTGCCATTTGATCATGGTGACACATCAAATCAATGAATTGGAAACTTACAGAGAATTACAGCATAGCAGAATGTGGATAAGTGTCATAAACTGCAGTCCACGGGCGACCCCCATGTTGTCAAAGCTCCAGAGACTCACTGGCTAAAATACTCTTAACTGGGCCCAGCTGAGCTTGTTCTGTCTTAACATACCCCCTGTGCGGCTCTTCAAGCAGCTTGTTATCAAACTGGGTTCCTGTCTGTTACTGAATAACTTATAAAGATAGTCCAATTGACTTCCTAATATGGAAAACTTGGAATATTACATATCAAAGAGAACTTACTTGGTGTCCAGATTGTGGTTTCAGATTGGACTTTAAATTATTTGAATTGTACCCTGAGGACGTTGTTTTACAACAGAAATGTTGTAACGTCAGCATAAGCAAAATCATATGACCAGTGGACTGAGAGCGATGCAGCACATTTTATACGAATACGTGTGTTACTTTCTGACAGACCAGACAAGTTCGTCGGGGTAAAAACATAATCTCTTGTAATATGCAATACTCAAACGGAAACTAAAATATTGAATTTCTTGAAATGACACATCCTTCAAATATAAATCCGACTGCACCTTCCCGAAACAGAACGGAACCTATTCACTTCCCTGTTGTAGTACAGACGGAACAACCTCTGCGGTGCACCTCTTCATTGCTATTGGCTGTTGTTTGTTTGCTTTAAACCGACGGCGGAACTGATATTCGAGTAAAAATACCCTAATAATACTTCTGTCTTTTCAACTACCACGTTAAACAATAATACATGTATGTAACCCGCACGCGTCACCTTCCTCTGAAGTGGTTTGTGTTGCAAGTTAGTTATTTATTGAACAGATGAAAAGGTTTCATTAGCTAGCTAACAGCTCCGATTGATTAGCTGCCCCGGCTAATGCTAGCGTCACCAGGCAACCACAGGTAACGCGAGATAACTTCGCTAACGTTAACGTTACGTGATTTTAAACAGCTTTGTAACGTTATTATTTTTGTTGCAATGAAACGTTGCATTGAAAACATCAGTTTACGTAACTACCGCTAGTGGACAGGTTGTACATACCAGTATTTTAACGTTAGCGTTAAGTTAGTGAGTGATGGTCCTTTTTACTTTCTCTGTTTGTGCTTCTGTCTAGACTGTGTCTTCATCATGGAATCAGAAGTTGAGTTTTTACGTGATCAAGGTAAGGACAAAGTAGGGAGGACACATTAGCAGGTTGTCAGAGCCATCACAGTTGTCCAGTCCGAAGCCCGTTCAGTGGGACTTAATCCCAAGGGTTCAAATGGTGGGCAATGCTAGGCTCTGAATTCATAATATGCCACTATGACTGTACGAGGCACCATATGACATTAATGAGACCGGAGCTACAATCATCACTACGTCCACTCAAACATACACTGTTTCGGATCCAGTGGTATAGAGTCATTACAATAGAACAATACAAAAATAGCCAGAGCCTTTATTCATCAAGTATCTCTGAATCAGTTAGAGTAATTATGCTGGGGCTATTATGAGACTGTCCTACAGTCTTAAATAAATACTTTAAATGAGATCATTTCGGGGTCCATGATAAGCTCCTTAAGTGCTAATGAAGGCTAATGGTATATTTCCTCTATAACGGAAAAAGGCTTAAAATGACCTATACATTAATTATACTTAATCTGCTTTTGTAAATGGATAGCACAGCACAATAAGTAAGGGCATGCTTTATCAGGACTGCTGTTATGTTCCGCTTACATTTAATTTTCAAGGTGCTCATACGGCCAGGACCCTTTGGCCACAAAATCAACAATTATGCGTCCATATGAAAGTCTTGATTTGATACTATTCAATGTATTCACGACAGCGACACATGCAAAGATCTAACTACTTTGGTCTGTCGTGACTTTGTGTCTCTTTTTTTCTTTCTCACATGAATCTTTTTCTTTTTATCCATCTATCATCTTTGCTGCCTTCTTACATTCGTTTCTGTCACTCATTCATGTTGCCTGTAATTCTATTTTGAATAACTGAACTGCAATTAACTAATAGCCTAAACTTTGACTGTGATAACTTGGCAGCCCTGGCAGTATACTTGCCAGCAGACACAGCCAACCATTGCTGGATCTATCCTTGAATTGCCAGATGCTCAAGTCCAGAGTCAACATGCACTTCTAAGATGTTTGCAATGCTCTTTTCCTGCTTCAGCTATAACAAACTGGTGCATTGTATGCTTTCGAACTAGGACCCCTTTTGTGAAAATTTGCATTTTAAAAATAGCCCAGTTTGGTGGAGAAACATGGCAACTCTGAATAGTGGAGCAGCATGAACATGTGTGCTTGACTGTGTGTGTGTGTGTGTGTGTGTGTGTGTGTGTGTGTGTGTGTGTGTGTGTGTGTTTTCAGTCCACAGGTTGAATTCTGCGCTCAACCAGTATCAGCATGGACACCACACTCAGTCCCCATCTCAGGTACAAAGACATCTATAAAAACCTCCTATTAACTCTCGATTTAGAGTAAGATTTAGCTCGTTATTTGGTATCTTCAGAAAACAACTTCTGTGTATATACTGTTCTCTGTAGCAAGTTCATCCGTATTGCATATATGTATATGCAATATATATATATATATATGCAGTTCGGCCCACAATGACAATCTCATCGTCAAGTTTGCCGACGACACTACAGTGGTCGGACTCATCTCTAAGGGTGATGAGGCAGCCTACAGAGAGGAGGTCCTGAAGTTGGCAGCCTGGTGTTCAGAGAATAACCTCGCTCTGAACACCAAGAAAACCAGAGAGATCATCGTTGACTTCAGGAAGCACAGCACCGACCCAGCCCCCCTTTACATCAATGGCGAGTGTGTGGAGAGGGTCCATACCTTCAGGTTCCTCTGTGTCCTCATCTCCACCGACATCTCCTGGACAGAGAACATCACGGCAGTCTCCAAGGAGGCTCAGCAGCGGCTACACTTCTGAGAGTCCTCAGGAAGTACAACCTAAACTCCAACCTGCTGCTGACCTCCTACCGCTCGGCCATCAAGAGCCTGCTGACATACTGTATCACAGTATGGTACGGCAGCTGCTCCGTTGCAGACAGGGAGAGGCTCCAGAGAGTTGGAAAGGCAGCACAGAAGATCATTGGATGCCCTCTCCCCTCCCTGATGGACATTTACACCTCCCGCTGCCTCAACAGAGCTAAAGCCATCACCAAAGACAGCTCCCACCCTGGCTTTGATCTGTTTGACCTGTTGCCCTCAGGGAGGCGCTACAGGTGCATTAGGACTAAAACAAATAGACTCAAAAACAGCTTCTTTCCAAAAGCAATAACCACTCTGAACTCTCACATGGACTGTTCTTAGTCCAACCACCCCAACCCCCGGACTCTCTTCAGTCACTATTAAAAACCTTACCTACTGTGCAATACCATATTATGTGCAATATTCCATACCATAATGGGCAATATACATATAATGTGCAATATTTATATATATTCAACACTGTATATAGCACCGTATTTATTTTGCAAATCTAAATACTCCTTAGGACTGTGAACCTTACCTCCCTTTTTTGTACTATTACTTTATGTCCTATGTTTATATTGTATATATTTTTTATTCTTTTCACTGTTTTTTGCACTGCTATGGGAGTTGGCTTTTTAATCTCATCGTACATGCGTACAGTGCCAATAAAGGCATTCTATTCTATTCTATTTCATTTTATTTATAAAAGAAACAGAGTATTTAACTACAACTGGACACTCCATAATGCCAACCCTCATCATCTGCATATCTTATGTTCATCAGGTTGAGGAGGCAAGACGGGCGGAGTCTCCTGCTCCCTGGATCTCTGATAGAAGGTTAGGTGCTATTAAAGTTTCTCTTGTATGAGTCAGTCATACGCATTCTTCTTTCATGTCTGAGTTATAGGGAAAACAAACTTGTGTTGATATGAGTACACTGGAGAGTAAAAGCTTTTCTGCACTAGTGACACCATTATTCATCTGTGTTACAGTATAATGGCTCCCCTGATAGCAGAGTATGATCGGCACATGGATGAGATGACAGAACAGCTGCAGAGATACCAGGTAAAAAACATTGAATATCTTGACTTAACCTATGGAAGTATTATAAAAAATACTGTAGGTATATTGTAAAATAATTGGATGTATAAAGCTTTAAGCTCTTAAAATATGCTAAATTGAGTAGTAGAAAGCCCAGAACTGAGTGATGAATTTTTCCTGATCTGAGTTTGTTTTGATGAGTAAGGTGGCTTCCTCTAAAGAATGCAGATCTTTTATCTCGTTCCTTTTTTTTTGTTGCCGTTGTTAAATTGGAATGCAGGTGCACTAAAATGTATCAGGATTAATAGCACTCAGTGTTGATCTACATGTCTCAACCAACAGGCACTGATGACAGATGTCAAAGTGAAACTGGAGAGGGTCGTCAAGGAGAATGAAAGGTAGAAATGAATCAACATCAGCCAAGATTTTCTGTCACGAGAGACAAAGAATATCTGATATTATTTGGTTTTCTAATTTGAATTATTATACAGTGACTTTGATTGTATTTGTATGTTCCAACAAAAATAAGGTACCAGTGAGTATTAGTAGAGCAGTAATGTTAGTTTGGTTGTTCATTAGTTATTTGTTGATAATCAAGGCATCTTGGTCATCTACATTACAGCCGAATAAAGTGTGCTGATTGAATTTTAATTTTTTTAAAGGACAGCCCGTTGAGATGCATCATCTTATAACCTATTGGCTTTCATTAAGATTCTGCTATTTTATTTAATATCAAAAAACTATATGCAATTTAAGTATTTTTATTACCATTTCAATATCAACCCTCACCTTTGCCAGGCTGCATGTAGAGCTGAGGGAGTCTGTTGAGAAGCAGCTTCACAGCCTGCCTGTGGCTTCAGGAGTGGAAGGCAGCGGTCTGGAGGAGGAAGCAATCACCAGAAACCTCCAAGAACAGGTCCAGCTGTCTGAACAGGTCTGCATATGTCCACATATGTCTAAACCTGTGAAGTCCCCATATACAATGATGTGTTTGTACTGTAGATGCGATTTTTACATACAGTGTCATGGTATAATATAATAAGGGGCGGCAGTCGCTGGTTCAAGTCCCACAGACCACAATACGGAGTGTGGACTGGTAGCTGGAGAAGTGCCAGTTTCACCTCCTGTGCACTGCCGAGGTGCCCTTGAGCAAGGCAACCTAACCCCAAGAAACTGCTCATGGGGCAACATGGCAGCCCATCACTCCACCATCTCTCTCCCTGTTTGCATGTCCACAAGTGCATGTGTGTGTGTGTGTGTGTGTGTGTGTGTGTGTGTGTGTGTGTGTGTGTGTGTGTGTGTGTGTGTGTGTAAAATAAAAAAGAGTGAAAAGAACAATTTCTCCAATAGGGGATTAATAAAGTATGTATCTTAATATAAATTAATAGTCTTTACTGTTTTCCTTGGAGTTAGATTAAAAAAAAGCAATGTTAGCTAAAAATATTTTTTAGAGAATTGTGTTACAGTATCTCAAGTGGAAAAGAGTCGGCAAAGGGACTCAATAATGTGCCTTATACAGTAGGACTGCAACTAACGATTAATGTCTTCATCAATCAATCAATCTGTCATTTTCTCGATTTAATCAATTGGTTGTCAGAAAATGGTGAAAAATGTTGTTTCCTG